TGTGTGTCTCTGTGTGTGTATCTGTTTCTCTGTGTGTGTGTGTGTGTGTGTGTGTGTGTGTAGGTTTCTGTGTCTGCATTTGCATGTGTGCCTGTGTGTGTATCTGTGTCTGTGTGTGTAGGTTTTTGTGTCTGCATTTGTATGTGTGTCTGTGTGTGTGTATCTGTGTCTGTCTGTGTGTGTGTGTGTGTAGGTTTCTGTGTCTGCATTTTTATGTATGTCTGAGTGTATGTGTATCTGTGTCTGTGTGTGTAGGTTTCTGTGTCTGTGTGTGTATGTGTGTCTTTGTGTGTATACATGCATGTGCTAAATGTACCCGTGCCCCCTGCACCTGAGAGTATATATCAGCTAGTATCCCATACTTTTATATTATTTCTTTATGTAGATATTCACACTTACCTATTCTTTATTTTTAAAATGTATTTATTAACTTTATGTGTATGCTTAGTTTGCCTCCTTGCATGTAAGTGTACCATATGCACGCGGCAGCTGCTATGTAGGTACTGGGAATCCAACCCGAGTCCGCTGGTAGCACAGGTAGACACTCTTTTTTTTTTTAATTTTTTTTTTTATTTTATTGAGAATAAGAAAAAAAAGTTTCCGCCTCCTCCCAGCCTCCCATTTCCCTCCCCCTCAGGTAGACACTCTTAACTGCCAAACCATCTCTTCAGCCCCTCGCCCAAAAACGGAAAGAAGTGTTAGAATCTGTTTTCCTTTTGCCTTAATTTGCCAAGGCCAAGTTGACAAATGAGGGTAAAAGTGGGATCAGGATGTGACTATTCACTGGCCTCCGTCTTCATCCATATTTCTGTAAGTAAAGAAGCCAAGGGCTTCTACCGTATTTGGAATTTTTTTCCCTTAACATGACAGAAAGATGTGTTAGTTCAGGTTCTCAGAAACACTGCCCCATTTTGGCAAACCTGTCACGTCTTCACAATCATAGAAAGAAAATGACATCTTTAAAATTCTCTTTGAAATTCTCTTTTACCATTTTCTGGCTTCCGTTAAGTTGCCAAGGAGCTGAAAACTGTTGACCGTGAACTCACAGTGCTGAGTGAGGTGGCTTCCTCAGCAGTCAGTGCTTCTGTAATTTTTGCATTTCTCATTTTACTTCAGATTAGGATGGACCCAAGTGCCCTGTATGTAAGACCTGAAATTTTGAAATTGATAGATTGAAAAACATAGGTAAAACACTTCCAAATATTGGCAAGGCAGGGACTTTCTGAGCAGAATTGTAGCAGCATGGAAAAGAAGGCCAAGAATTGGTAAGTGGGAC